ACGACGCATAGTAAGATCAATCAAAGAGTACACCCGCGATCACTTAAAAGTAGACAAAGCTTATACTAAACAACTATACGTTCGTAAATGAAGTCGTGATGGTCTTACCAATGGCGGCACGATGAAGAAGCTTGATGAAGACCTTTAATGCAAACAGTTTTTTGATAGCCTTTGTATGAAAGGCACGATTGTTATTGTTGGCGATCAAAATATTTCAGCGCAAGATTGAGACGTACAAAAATATTTCTTGAACGACGGAGGCCACATAAGCGATGTATTTCTACCCCCGCAACCATCTTTCGATCGGCAAATTTTGAAGTACAAAGTTTAGTTTGCACATAATAAAATACCACGCTTCATGATTGTTTTAATTTTGTCGTGATATTAAGTAAGAGCCCGTTAGCAAAAAAAAATATAAATATTCGAGAGAGAGAAAATTCGTTGAAGAAAAAAAAATCAGTAACTTTAAAAATGGTTTCGGAGACATTTGACCATGCAGTGAAAAAATTCTCGGCCATATATTTATACACAGATGCAGGAATACATTTCTAAGGGTTTGCAGCAAACTGAAATAATGTGAGAAATTATCAAACACCAACACAAAAATCAACATTTAGAAGAGTATTATACACCTACTTTGAAAAGTGCAAACTTTTCGAACCTCTTTTGAAAGTCCGCTACCGCCCGTGTATGTTTCGCTAAAGAGGTCAACATTCACTTCCTCAATTGCGAAGGAGCTTATGAACCGTCGGAACAGCGCACCCTGTTCCTGTGAAGACATATTGTTGGGTTTGACGTATGTGTGTGACTTAGTTGACTCTCTGCGTTGTCTTTTGTTATAGTTTTTAATATTCAAAACAAATTGAGAGAGAATTTAGAATTTTAATATCAACTACCGGAGAGTTCAAATCTAATTTAGAGATCACAGTTGCAAATTTAGTCGAATAAAATTTATAATTTTACTTCAAGGATGATCGGAATCGTTACAGAGTGCTTCCCACATTTAAGTTTTTTATTTTATCCAACTAAATAATATTGTACGGCAAATCTAGCGCAGATGCTATTAATAATCTCGAATATCGACTTTCACGTTCAATTCGCCGGGTCATGAATTCACTACTATAGTTCATTCACATTTCCATAGAATACGTCGGCATGCATTACTTTTTGTTTTTCATTCATAGGTGCAGCCTGCATAGATCTGCCCAACCTTTTCGGATGATATAGTTTTGAATTGAGCAAGACTACCATTATAGTTCTGCTACGAGTCCGTTCCATAAAGAATAACAATAATTAAGCTAGCGGTTGGGTCTGCATAATGATAGACTAGAAATTATCTGGATCATTCTACAGGAACAGTGAAGTACTCGGAAAAACTGGATTTTTCAACAAACCGGTTCATGCGAAAATGCATAATGCCAGCTAGCATGCATAGCCGACTTGGGGTGAATGCAGTTCGCCGTCGTTTTTTGGAGATTACAGAATAATTTTAGATATTATAATTTTGTTGTCAGACTTGTATATAATATTCTTCATTCTTTGTCATTATAGTCTGATGAAGGATAAGAAGAAATCGCAACGGAAAAAAATTTGTTCAGCCACATATCAGGAAATTTTTCGTAATATCGTGATTAACATCTTTCTGATGTACTGAGCAATCCACGTACACAACCGAATACTAATTTTACTTATAGTTAATCATTGACATTCGACAACAGAATTACCTTTGAACGAACGATATTAGCGAGCTAAAGCAAGCACTAATCAGAATCAGTAATTCAGGAATGAACCATTTCATATATTTGTACCGAAAGAGATCGAAAATTATCAATGAGCATTGGTGTGTATATATAGTTGAGAACTATATATACACAACTCGAAAGCCGAGAACATTTAACGTATGATAAAACCGTTCCGGAACACCCACTGCCGTAGAGGTCATATAAGAGGCTATATACCCTCCAGGCGACTGCAGCGGTTCTCTGCCTTACGTCAGGCGCCAACTAAGCCAGGATTGAGTAGTGTTTCACCATCCACAGTAGCGTTGCACCAAGCATCTAACGTTGAAACGTTAATTTCAGTGTTATTCTGCCAGTATTGAGTATATATAGCGTTACACCAAGCATCTAACGTTGAAATGACGTTAATTTCAATGTTATTCCAAATAATTCAACTTGTAATAAATGCTATTTCAAATACTTCAAATCGTAATCAACGTTATTTCGACGGATTCAACTCGCAATCAACGGTATTTCAACGAGTTCATTTTGTAATTAAGTTATTTTAACATCATTTGCCATTAAGGGTTGCATGGTTTGTTGCGGTACAGGTAGCGGCTTGGTAACAAATATTCATAAATTTCACATTATCATTGGACAGCAGCAAAAATTATGTCGCCTTTCATATCAGGAACCCCCAAAATTTTCAGTATTTTATGATTTGAGAACGCTCACGTTTTTGAGAAAGTATACTCTGATCCCGAGCACGGAAAATAAGAAAATAAAGTGATTTAATTAGTCAGTGAAACGTACATCGGCATTCGTTGACACTGGCTTAGAATTCGTCAGTTGTAATCACAAATAAAATTATACCTGTCCCAGGCTATCATACCTCCTGTATACACATGATTATAGGCGATAGTCAGTAGATAGTGTTCAACAGAGCAACATTTAAAGGAAAATTTAAATGTAACGCAGGATTGCTATTTTTTCAGCATTAAAATCACTCCATTTCAATCATTATTTCAAATAACATTGGGACAAACATTCCCCTCGTTTCTGAACAAGAGGCAATCCAGCACACGTTTCGTCTGATCCTGATACCTATGTGGTTCAGTGTCACCAAAATTCATTTGAACTCACATAAAAGCCTGACTTATGAGTTCATTGTTTAAGTCCAGAGGCCAATGCGTACTATAATTGATTAAGTCTTACTTTTAATTACATGAAGCTGCACTTGGCGATCATGTTAGGTCTATCACTTTCAAGTGACAAGCTCGTGTTACATGGTTTAAAATAGACGGGATTGAGCGGTCAATAACGTTCAGGTGACAAGCTCATGGTGGATGAAGGTATACAATAGACGGGATTGAGCGGTCAATCACGTTCAGGTGACAAGCTCATGTTAGATGAAGGTTTACAATAGACATGCAGGATTGAGACAATCACGTCAGGTGACAAGCTCGTGTTGGATGCAGTTTTTCAATAGACAGGACTAAAATGTCAATTTTGTTTCGGTTTAAGTCTCGTGGTCTTTCGTTCCGGTAGCTGATTTTCTCGGCTACTTGTCTTTGACTCTTTGGTGACCTGATTGTTAAGACGACTATGTCTGAATCATGGGAACAATACTGTCTCCAGGATGACAACAATACTGTCTCTAGGATGGCAACAATGCTGTCTCCAGGATGGCAAAAATACTGTCTGCAGGACGGCAACAATGCTGTCTCCAGGATGGCAAAAATACTGTCTGCAGGACGGCAACAATTCTGTCTCCAGAATAGCAACAATACTGTCTCCGTGATGACAACGATACTGTCTCCAGGATGACAACGATACTGTCTCCAGGATGGCAACAATAACGTCACCAGGATGACAACAATACTGTCTCCAGGATGGCAACAATACTGTCTCCAGGATGACAACGATACTGTCTCCAGGATGGCAACAATACCGTCACCAGGATGACAACAATACTGTCTCCAGGATGGCAACAATACTTTCTCCAGGATGGCAACAATACCGTCACCAGGATGACAACAATACTGTCTCCAGGATGGCAACAATACTGTCTCCAGTATGGCAACAATACTTTCTCCAGGCTGGCAACAATACCGTCACCAGGATGACATCAAAACTGTCTCCAGAATTGAAACAATACTTTCTCCAAGATGGCAACAATACTGTCACCAGGATGGCAAAAATACTTTCTCCAGGATTGCAACAATACTGTCTCCAGGATGGCAACAATACTGGCTGCAGGATGGCAACAATACTGGCTGCAGGATGGCAACAATACTGGCTGCAGGATTACAACAATACTGTCTCCAGGGTGGCAACAATACTGTCTCCAGGATGGCAACAATACTGGCTACAGGATTACAACAATACTGTCTCCAGGGTGGCAACAATACTGTCTCCAGGGTGGCAACAATGCTGTCTCCAGGATGGCAAAAATACTGTCTCCAGGGTGGCAACAATACTGTCTCCAGGGTGGCAACAATACTGTCTCCAGTATGGCAACAATACTGTCTCCATGATGACAACAATGCTGTCTCCAGGATGGCAACAATACTGTCTCCAGGATGGCAATGATACTGGCTCCAGTATGGCAACAATACTGGCTCCAGTATGGCAACAACACTGTCTCCAGGGTGGCAACAATACTGTCTCCAGGGTGGCAACAATGCTGTCTCCAGGGTGGCAACAATACTGTCTCCATGATGGCAACAATGCTGTCACAAGGATGGCAACAATACTGCCTACTAGTCAATGTTTCGTCCTGAATGAAAGCTGTGAAAAATTCTGTTTTATGATCGTTTTGAATTCGCTACTAATGATAGAAATAAAAAAATCCTTTCTAACTACGTATAATAAAAAAAATACTTTCTAATCACGTAAAAAGCAAACTTTCACGCTACTTTCAGTTTCTTGAAGCAACAATTAGTTTAATTTTATAAAAAAATGGGTCAAAATAATAATAAATTTAGTGGAATAACCGGGCAAATAAAAAACGATTTTTTAATCTGGTCATAATAAACCTTGCTTTCACATGTTCCTAATTTACATATGCTTTAACCTCCGATATATTTTAATCGGTACATTTACAGCGAATTGAAAAAGTTTTAAGAATTGAATTGACCCCAACCGCATAGTGGCAAAGATGTTTAGTGCCTAAATTCAGTGAAAATTTCAGTAAAATTTCCACCGAATTTTTGAGACATGGAGACGAACTCGTACAACACAACAAAAAAAAAATTCTCTGGAGGCTTAACTTGTACTCACCGTGTGCCAAGTTCAGTGTTCCAGGTCTGTAGATATCTTTCCCTTCACTTCGAACACAGACAGCTTTCAAGCGCCCTCACTTTTAATGCTATAATTTGAGAACACTCTACTTCACGGAAGAATATTCTAACTTTTCTCCTACAGAACACCCATCACTGACACGTTCAACAAACATGCAACGTATGAAGGGGCCGCAAAAAGATGTAGTTTACTTTTACTCTTGCAAGTTCATCCACCACGGAACTGGTTTGTTTGACTAAACCCGAATCACTGAACTCCAGTGGCCTCAGTATTGCGCAATGAGCTCTAGCTCACACCCTCCTCCACCACTGCTCAAAAGGCACTGCGAGCCAAAGCTCAACGACGCCTCGTAGTTCCAGACCGCGCAAGCAAGTCTTGAGAAAGCAACCGCTACAGCACGCAGCAACGGCACTGGAATTCAATACAGCCATGGCGCGCCACTCGGCCCTGGAAACGGACTTTCCGGTCCGGCCCTCCTTCACGAGGAAATTTAGGTTCCGCGTTTCATTTTTCATCACTTGTACCTGCCGAAATGGGTGCAGGAGTGTAGTCATAAATAGGCAAAATAATGTGATTAGTGCTCAATTATAATGAAGAAACCACACGCATTCATCAGTTTATTTAGAATTTCCTATAACGGGAACGTTTGACGCACGAAAATTTGTTAATAGATTACGAATAAATGTCAAAACTATGCTGGCAAATATATGAACGTGATATTAGCGATTTGCTTTCCACTTTGGATGCGATAAACAAAAATGTGGCATAGCTGGGCGTGGTAGCATACCAATGACGAGCATTTATTATAAATCATTTTAGTCTCTTAACTAGACAATTCATGTGTGCTGCAACGACGAAAACTGGCTGATCTATGTATCTCCAGTTTCGATTCTTGGCTCATTGGGTTGCAATATAAGCATTTTATTTCGTGATGCAGCTATGCACAGACGAAAGAATGCACGATACTATTCAAGGCAAATTAAACGATTTACGGGAGAGAATTCATGGTAAAATAGTCAAAATAATTTGAGGTGATTTGACGACCGCAAAAAAGGCACCAAAATGCATTCTTTGCATTTGCATTCCCCGCGAGTCCTCAAGCTACTCTAGAGTGTTAAAGAAATTTAAATCATTCAATCAAATTAAATTTCAATCTAAAGTTCCTAATACGGCAACTATAAAAAATGTATGCTCAATTTTTAAACGGGTTGACATGTATAGACGATTACCTTCCACCAAAATCCAATTTCCGATAAAAAGCCACCTGATTTCAAAAAATTACCTCTTACTATTTACACTATTTACCTCGATTTTCGGATCATTTCCAGTGTATGGGACAGTAAAAAATGTATGTATGTCTTGCCAAAGCAAATTTTAAGAATATGAAGTAAAATGAAAACAAATGGAAAACGCAAATCACGACATGTTATTTGGCAATGGGTGAATTTAATCTCTACTAGAGGTGACAAAACTATTCACTTAAATTATTTTTAATTTGAGTTTTCATAACACTCGAGTGTTATGTTCGAGTTAAACTAACTGTTGTAAAACTCAAGAATCAATCCCACAATATAAAAGAAGAAAGCTTACAAATGGTAGGTTACGAAATACTGATACATAAAGGCAGTAGTTGTTCAAGGGTGTAACAAACATTACGGCACAATCTACCACCCGGAGCACCAAAATGCATGCCCAATTAAAAAAAATTCTTCTTATAAGGCCATGATAACGCGAAAATACACAAAATTTACTTCTGAAACGAGGGGAACGTGCAAGACTTTTTCCGCCAATTGCATAATTTGTCAATCAAATTAGCCTTCCATACAAATTATTTCTTAGTTTCTGTGAGTAAATTCGTAGCAGCCTGGGAATCCCATTTTCTTTGTAACACCTACAACTAACAAACAATTGGAAACCCACAAACAATGAAAAGAATAATAACAGAAGTGAAGTAAATACAAACCTCCGCAATTACCGCCAATAACAATACTCGGTTTTATAATGTGTGCTTCTGAAAGCAATCAAAAGGTGTATAATTGCAAATTATCAATGTAATTGTGCCTGAATTTCTTTCACATTCAAGGAAATTTCTAATTATTTCAGCAGCTGATGGAAGCAGACGTGGGACGTCGCGACCATGGTTGAATTAATACAAGGTTGACCCACGACGAAGACGACTTTTATGCCGTTCTGCGCATGTCTCGAGTGACGTCATTTTTTTTTTTTTGTCTCGTGCAGCGAACATTTCGGACTGTATCATGAGCATGAATGTGGCGGAGTCTTGGTCATTCATCAAGAACACGGTTATGTCTGCTGTTGATGGGTGTGTACCTAAGATAAAGCTCGGTGGAGTCAGAAAAACACAGTGGATGAACAATACGGTTAAAGCAAAGCTAAAAGCAAAGAAGGAAGCCTACAAGCGTTATTTACGAACTCGTAGCGATGCTGAGTAAAACCTGTATGCTAGAGCTCGAAATCAAGCTAAAAAAGCTTGTCGCACAGCAGTCAAAAATTTTGAAAAAGAAGTTGCCAAAAATTCGAAAAAGAACCCGAAAGCCTTCTTCTTGTATGCTAGTTCGAAGTGTAAGACAAGGAACGGTATTGCTGATTTGAATGTAAATCAACGGAAGATATATTCTGACGAGGGCAAGGCCAATGTTCTAAATCAGTTCTTTAGCAGCGTCTTCACAGATGAGGACTTGAACAGTATTCCAGCTATTGAGGAGCGACCAGTGGACTCGAAGTTAACTAGTTTCGAGATACATGAAGAGGAGGTTCTCAAGCGCCTGGTCTCCCTGAATCCCAACAAGT